TGTACAGTCATGCAAATTTGCATATTTTAAGATAAAATTAACGCAGTTTGTTTTCGATCAGATCGGTGAACAAATAATGAATAACAATCCCATAAAGGTATGTATTTATGTTTTTTAAAATCATTGTAAATTTTAAGCTACTACATTGTCAGAACCATAAATATGAATTATTATTTAAGGTTGATGCAATTGAGGAAGATTTAGAAATGAATAAAACGAGTATGAACGAAACAAAAAATGAAGATATAGGGGAAGATAGCGATGGAGACGAAGAACTGGATGATGATGAATTCGAAGTAGAACACATCTTAAATGTTGCTGCTATGGATGGAGAAGTAAAATATCAGGTAACAGTGAAGCATTGATTTTTTTTTTGATTTCAGTTAAATAAATTCTGAAACTTTAATTCAAAATGGATGATTTGGTTTTGATGATAATGTACGGCTTCACCTTTAATTTCTTGTATTCCAATTACTTTTTTTAGGTACGGTGGAAAGGTTATGGATCAGACGAGGACTCTTGGGAACCGGAGCAGAATCTGGAAACAGCACGATTAATTCTTAACGAATACATTGCAAATCATCAAGACGAAGTGAAGAAGGCTCAAGAAGCAGTGCTATCTCGGAGCAAGCTAAGAAAACGACGTGGAAATCGAACAAAACGAAATAAAGTATATTATTTTGAAATGAAATACAGGAGTGTGTTCTATCACTGCTGTCGCCTTTGAATTTCCACTTAAATCCAATAGAAGTTGAGTTTTAAGATTCTATGACCCTCCATTTGTATTATTACCCAGTCAGTCATGAGAGATCAAAAATTTGTTTAAATAGTGAGCCATAATAGTTTAATATAATTTATTGAGATATGTGTTTCACTTATACACTTTTAACTTCTTTTGAGCATATCAGATATGAATTTCAAATGATATTTATTACAGGGAAATAAATTACGACGAAGTTGTAGTTCAGAATATTCAGAGACTACTAAAACGATGAAACTTCGAGCTAGAAAAAAGGTAAAGATGGAATATGAAGATGACGGTAAGACCGATAGTGACGAGGATGAAGGAGTTTTCAAGAAGCGAGGGAGGTAATTTTAATAATTGATCAATTCTTATGAGGCATTTTTGTTTTTATGGAGAGGTTTTTGCCTTATAAAATCTTTTTTTCAATTTGAGTTCAGGGGAACGATTAAATTTTGTGTTATCTATATGTTACATCAGCAATTACATAAATGGATATTTTTATTAAAGAAACTTATTCTGTCTATAAATTTATTCGTATAAATTTCTATAACTAATCACAAAAAAATTCTTGATTTTATGTGTAATTTCAGGCGATGTCGAGCAGTATATAATAAGATGGAAAGGACTAAAATTGTAGACTTATCAAAAAATATAGAAGATGAATCACTTCCAAAGGTTTGTATTTTCTGTATATTTAAATTATAACCTAATTTGTGATAATGTTTTAATAACTTCCAATTTTATTCAAATTTATTTTCGATAAAGTTCAAATGCGACATCGAGATTACATACTGGAAGAATTTTCTCACTCTAACACTGTTTTTAATTATGAAATGTTAAAGATTAAAGAATACCCATCGTCATTCAAATTTTAGGATTTATCACCAAAGAAGGCAAAAAATGCTTGGCTTTATGATGACGCTGAGGATGCAGATTCCGACATTTCAGAAGGCAGCGGAAGAACAAAAAAAAGTGGTCTGTTTATTTATATTATTGCCGAGTCTTTCATCTATTGCTTTAGATTTAAATTAGGTTTATGATTTTGACCCAGGAAATTCATATTATTGACAAATAACATTTTTAACTAGGGAGCGTTTCATTTCCTTAATTGTTTTTTCAGCGCGAAAATATCCCCTTTTTAGACATTTTTCTACGTAAGACAAAAGACAATAATCAGATGAGAGAAAATAATATCACAGAAGGAAGTAATGTATCGCTGGTGACGCCTGAAGAACAGTGCGAAAACAACTTGGACGAAAAAGTCAATTTGTTGAATGAGAGAAGAAAGCAGAAAGGAAAAGGAAGAGTTCCTGCAAAGGTAACCATTTTGTCTTTTAATTCCATGATTTTGATCTTTCATTGTGTCTCTTGTTCTATTTGATACTAAATCATATTTATGCTTTAAACGAGGAGTCCATTCTTCTTTAAACGACTTATAATAGAGCAGTAGCTTTCTACCTGTAGAAGTTTTAATAAAAATGTGATCATTTTAACTATGTGTTGCAATATTTGATATTATTCAATGGCATTTTCAGGCCAGCGCAATGGAAGAAAGTATGTCAAAAAATCAGTGTCCAATAAGTTTAATTTTTGTTAACAATTGGAGCCATTGTTAAACTTCTATTTTATAGTTCTTTTGAATTTCAATTCAAGTCAATCGAAAAATTAGGATCATCAGTTATTTTATTTGCTCCAATTAGCAAGATTTTGCCACATTATTATTTTCATGTTGCCAATTTTCCATTTTGTCGGAAACAGTTCATCAAAAAAGCGCTCATGAGCTTTTTATCATTATAGTTAATTAGAAAAAATATTATTGGCAGTCTTCGCAACATTGATGTCTTAAATTTACGATAACTTTAGATTACGAATCAAAAGTGGAATTCATTGGTGTCGTTCAATGTCATGATGGTGAAATTAAAGTAATCTATACAAAAAATGGTGAGACGAGGGCACATGTTGTATCTGTGAGGGGTAAGTTTGTAATTTTATTCCATAATTTTTTTTTCTTAAAATTTCAAATGAAGACATAAAAAATTAGAATCATTTGTCACTTTTCTAACTAACTTTACCAGTATGACTGTATAATGCTTCTATAAATTTTGTGACATTTAATGTCCATTTAGCCCGAAATAATACATGAATAAGTACGCTGTGTCGTTTATTATTCTCTGCAAACGGATTTATGTGTGATAAAATCTTAATTAGTTTTATACACTTATACTGACTAGAAAGCAGTTCTTTTTCCTGAGGAATTTAAGAGTTTAACAGTTTTGTTTGATGATATAAAAGCACTGAATTGCATGAATGTGTTTTTTTTTTCCTCTATCATAATTACTAAAAACAGACTGGAAGCAATTGATCTTTAGCAGGAATACTTGATGGAAGCGCTGATGTATTAATTATTGAAGGAAATTATATGTTTTTATAAGATCTTGTTTTTTTTTTTGCTTCAGAGGCTTTCGAAATAGATGGCTTTGGCTTGGTGCAATATTTTGTTAGCCGATGTGAATTTGGTAAGCCACAAAGTATTGACGTATAATTCAAAAATTATGGTTTGACTATTCAGGTTGGTGAGTTCAATCGTTTGACTACAGAATAGTGTGTATATTCAATGACTTTAATTATTAATAATTTCTAGCAATAATATTGCTGTTTGTTTTTCGAAGTTTTTCTCAACGAACAGTAAAATAGCTTTTTTTATAATTAGCCTCGATGTTACTTCTTAACTACAAAATAATTTCTGCTTTTCATTCCCATTTTTTGCATAAATAAGTCTTAAAACAGTTCATTTCAAATCTCGTTTCTTTCACTTTTATTTACGTAAGTTTGGAGTACTTTTATTTTCATTATTGAAAGGCTAAAGAAATTAACGTTTGCATATGTATTAGACTTTATATTTATTTGTGGTACTTTTATTTTAAGCTTATATTGCCGCATTTCCTACATTTTGCAGCATGCAGCATCAATATTGAACTTCAATTTCTTGCATAAAGAGCAGAGTTGGCAAAACTGGCCGATGTACTTGACTTAAGCACACTTTTGCACGTGGAATCTATGCTTTATTCGTTAAATGGCTCCCTTTAAAATTTATTTCTGAATACACCATATTGTTAAAAATTTGCTTGATGAAAAATAGCTTCGAATTAGTGGAAATATTTAAAAGATCTCTTGCAGGTGTAAATTAGTTGTTGCTGATTTTTCTTGTATGTTAAATTGAAGTATTTATTTTATTAGTCCGGATGGTACTCTGCCTTTTTCAACAAAAGCTGTTCTTATTTTAAGGGTCGCAGAGCGGGACTCTTCAAGCATTCTTGGTCTCATTCTTTTCAACTCACTACAAGTTCTTTTTTCTGCAATTTACAAGCGACAATAACATTTTATTTTTCGTTAGGTTTTAATTTTTCCTGATCAGAAATATTATCTGTACTCATTGCTATTATTCCCTCATTACTATTCAGAAGTCCTTTATTGGGACTACTATTTTTATATTATTTAGTTTAGTCATTTTATATGTCCAACAATTGTCTAATCATTATTTTTGATATTTTGTTCCTCAAATTTTATTGTCGAATGATGAAACTGTTGTGCATTTTGTAAACTTGTTAGATTTCGTTTGCTATCATTGAAGATATGAGTATAAATCTTTATTTAT